GTCAATTTTTATAAATTTTTTTAAAACTTAAAATATCATCGATACGATATTTAAAAAAAATTGACAACCCTATTTCAGAGTTCATTTCCTTTGTTCCTTTGGCAACGATCATTGCTCCACAGTCGACTGAAGCGACTCTCTAAATATCAAACCTCGTTGCTTGAACGAAATTCTCCACTTTAGAAGACTATCCTATGTAGCTGCGTCTGATAGTAGTCTAATAGTACATACAATTTTTCTCTCTTTATGTACACGATACTCAGAAGACCCTTTCACAACTTATACAACACCATATTATTCGGCTCATCCGCGCAGTGCCTTTCACATTGTTATTCCTTTAGCTGAAACTTGAACTACTTTAGCAGTTGCCTATCCACTTAGCCGGCTATAGTTTCTTAGCGCCTCTCAGGTAATAAGATTTTGAAGCAAAAATCCACTTGGGCAGTTGCTCTGCGCTTATCACGCTAAAATGCTGTACAATTTACGGCCGTGGATATACATTTATGTTGTTGTTGTTGTTATTATTATTGTTGCTGTTGTGGTAGCAGCGCACTGGGCGTATGTGTAATATTTTGCAAGAGGAAATGCGAAGGATAAAGTTTGTGGCGCGTGCTCGTCACAATGTTGCAAAAGTAAAACAATTGCAGATGTTGTTGTTGTTGTTGTTATTTTTATTGCTGCTGCTGCTGCTGCTGCTGCTGCTGCTGCTGCTGCTGCTGCTGCTGCTGGTGTGTGTGGATGCTTTGTTTTATTGCGCATTTAAGAGTGCTGCAATTGTTGGCCAGACAATTACCAACTAATTGCAGCAGCAGCAGCTACCAAATCTGCAGTTAAGTCAGCAGCTGCTACTAAACTCACCTCTATCAACAACGAGCAAACAACTACGTACACACACACAGCCGCACACAGATAAAAATAAATGCAAAAACTTTTGTGCAAACAAAACGAAATGAAAATATTTTCAAATAAATGAAAAAAATGTGCACGAAATGCACTTAACTCATTTGCAAGCCGCACAGAAATGCGCTTAAATAAATTAAAATGCGGTAGCCCTGACACTTAAATACGAAAAAAGGAAAAAAAAAAAAAACAGCACGAGGGAAAGGAAAGGAAAAACACAACATGAGAAGAGGCGAACAAAACAACAACAAACACACAAACACAAACATGACAGACAAAGGACAAAGTGTCCTGGCATCCTTGCGCTTTCGGCTGAATGCCCGTGAAAGGCTGTGAGAGCGTGAGGAGCCAAGGCGAAAGGCGGAAGGCGGAAGGCGAACGGAGCAGGGCAGAGGGCACAGAGCGCAGGACGCTTGGCGCAACTGTCAAGATAGTCAGCTGCATGGGGCTTCAAAGGTGGCAGCTGCAGGTGTTGCACTAAGTAGTTGCCGACAAGAAGACGCCCCAGCCACCCAATCAACCAGCCACCCAACTGACTTGAGCTCTGTGCAGCGAGACAAGCACTTAAGATGTCGCAGTTCCCATTAAAAATGATGTATAGAGTATCAAACAACGAATAATGAAATGATAATTAAAAGCATGGGCGGCGATGGGGGTGGGGGCGGGATAGTGGGTAGTGGGTAGTGGCGCTTCTACAGCTGGAGAAGTGGGCGTCTGTGCTAGGTCCTGCAAGGACCTTCATTTGTTAGCCATAAAGTGCACAAATTGGAGCGACCACAAAATGCAGACGCAGAATTCAATTACGTGGTGAATGCGATGGGCGGCACGTGAGCGGGGGGCGCGGCAACTAATGAAGAAATTATGAAGTACATTGAAACGCAGCAGCAATGCCAAACAAAGCTCAAGCTAGGAAAAAAACTGTTGACAAGGACACACACAAAGACAGGCAAACAAACAAACAACAACAGCTGAAGGAGCCAAGGGCAGCCCCAGTAAATGGACTCAGCCGGAAATTGAGACGCAGCTGTGTAGCCGAGTGTTGTTGCAAATGGCGTTGGCGATTGGCAGATTGAGCATCGCTGGCATCGGCAGCCCATTTGGCCCGAGGAGAAGGAAACAATAAAATGCAGCCAACGGCAATGCGGGACTCAAAGGACGAAAAGGCGAATTTGCTGAAGCAAAAACGAGCTGCAATCTCCGAATATTTCATTCCAGCTCATCGTTATCCTGCTCTTCTGTTTTCTTTTCTTCCATTGCTTTGTCTACCTGTGCGCCATTACAATCGGAGAACTTAATAGAGGCAGTCACATCCATATCTACTTGCCTGTCTGTTCATTTGTGGACTATACATTCCAAGTTTGAGTCTAGTTTTGATAATTCATCTCGTGAATAAATAATAA